CCCAGCTAGAAGTTCAGGAGCTAGAATTCAAACGTAGGCATGTCTGCTTCCATGGATCACATTATATCCTCTACATCATGCTTCCTGGAGGTTGAGTTTTATCCTCTTAGAGTTACTTAATACTACATGTATAGAAAATGTCTTAATTAGGAAGCCTTTGATCATGGAATAAAGATTATATTAATATATGGGTTCCTAAAGAGATAATGTATATTTAGCTTGCTCTTATACAGAATACATATCAGTAGTAACTAGCCTTGAATTGAGGCTTTTTGTTCCACAGTCATGTACTTAGTCTCCATTGTTTATTGGTTCCATAATAAATTCTGTGGGAAGTCAGGGGAGTTGACTGCCTTTGCTTTGAAGGAATTTTCCATCATGTTGAGAAGAAAGGTGATATGCACATACAAACACAGTATTTGCTGTGTACTAAAATGAGTTAGCTGACAAACAGTGCTAGAGAAGTCCAAAAAAGGAAAATGGAAAATCACTCCAGGCTTAGAAAAAGTATAATTGGTGAAGCCTATCTTCCGAGAATCTGTACAAATCCAATCAAAAAATAAGGCAATGCCTAATAAGTTCACAAAAGTAGCCAGTCTTCTTTTTCCCAGGCAGGCAAAGGTCTTCTCTTTTTAAGTCCTATGTAAATCTTCACCCTGAAGTTTTAGGCTTCCAAGGATGGCTATTGTTTACTCAGACAGCATCTTGTGTTTCGCTTACTGAGCAGTCCTTATATTTCCATTTCACGTGTTTGTTTGTTTAACACCTGCATCAGGTAGTAATTGGCAAGCATCAGCAGATCAGGGAAGAATCATATCTGTTCTAATTCCCTTTCACCCTTCAGCACATAGAAAATATTATGGGCAAGAAGTAGCTTAAGTTCAAAGACATAAAAAGTGGCAGGAATATTAATCAGACAGGACATTTACACAAAAGGAGATGATTGAGGCTAGTTTTTTAAGTCATTTTCCTTATGAAAGTGCAGGATGATGGGCATACTATTTCATGGACTTTTTTTGTTTTGTTAAATGGCTTAGCTACAACTTATGAATGATTTGTCATATTAATAAATATCAACAACATCTTAATGGCTCTATAATATTTTACTGTGTGTTTGTTTTTGTAATTCCTTCAACAAATGTCCTATAGTTGAGCATTTAGAGTCTTTCTGAATGTTTCCTTTTACAAAAAATTCTATATTATACATGTAATTTTTGTATGTCTTTTTAAGATGTGAAATTACTGGGTCAAAAGACATGAATAAATTTAGGGTCTTTGGCATATACCATTAGTGTTCTTTCCAGAGAGCATATAATGAAGCATCTTTTCATTTCAGGGAACAAGGATAACTGCTACATACTTTTGGGACTTCCTGAACATTTTTGTTTGTAAAAATTTTTGGTGTTTATTTGGTTTTTTGGAGGGATTTTTTTTCTGTTGTTTTTGTTTTTTAAGTAGGTTGCTGTATTACTTAGTATTCTGTGGTGGTGGATATTTGAAGAATAATTTCTCTCTTTGGGATTATTCCTCTAACACCTACAAACACCAGGGTGTTCTTTCTCTAAAGGAAAACATAAAGCATAGAGAAATTAAATGCTGCTCAAATTCTGAAGCTATGAAAATATAACAATGGAGAAAGCAAACAAAGTTTTTAAGCTACTCGATGACTTTAGCAGCTGGTGGATCCTACTATGACTATTTTTGCACAGAATAAAAAAGACACAGCAGGTTCCTTTGGAACATCAAACTGAGAAAATTGACTACAGCTTTAACAGCCTTAAAAGAATTTTTTTTTTGGCAGAATGAATAACTATGCATAATTGAGAAAAATAGCCTAATCTGGAGAATAAAATAGATGTAAAAAGAGGCTAAACAAGAATGTTGCTGCCTGTTCTTTTCACAACAATCTTCCACCTGTCCCCGACTGCTGCATTTAGGGAACAAAAGCTTAAAGCTAAAAAAGAATAGGAGGTTGAGGAGTTCAGGATGGAGATAGTGTAGGGCCATGTACATTTCAGGGGACTTAGAGCCAGAAGACAGCCCTGTAGTCATGGGTGGGCCATGCAGTAAGGAAGCCTGGACTTAAAGCCCAGCTCAGCCACTTACCAACTCTATGATCCTGGGCAAAGAACGTGCCCCCTCTCTGGTTCAGTTCCTATGTTTTCAAACGGAGATGGAAGTAGTGCCCGACCTTCTCACTGCCTGGCTCATACCACACATATATTAAACGTAAGCCATTATTTTTACTGTATAACTACGCTGTGAACTCGGGCAAGACACTCTACCTTGCACCTCAATGTCTTCTACTGTAAAATGAATTGGTTATACAATGTGTGTGATGTCACATCTATGTGTGAAGGTCTATGGTTCTATGAGAACAGCAGCAATAAGAAAAAAATAATTCACTGGATGCTACCCTGCTACCATCAGAGTAGATTTGGGAATGATTGGAAGCCAGCAAAGCAAATAGGGAATTGAAGAATTGAGGCAAAGCAGAGAAGAAAAGGAGAGAGGAGTGATAACAAAGAATAACTTTTACAGATAGAGTTTTTGTTATATCTTTGCATACCATAATTACATCAAAATTATTATTCATCGCATAGGCAATAAAACTACTACAAAAGTCATGTGTGCATTTTAACAATAGCGGGTTTTCAACTTCCTTTCTACCAATATAAAGCATCCTGATAGACGCTATTTTCAAACTCAAATGTAACCGCACGCATGATTCTTCTCTCAAGTACAGAACAACATAATTATATAAAATAATTTTATCTGCCCTAAATACAAGACTGCTCATGATTCACTTAAAGTTGAGAAATGACTCCGCATTGCTGGCTTTTAGCCAGGTTATAATTCAGACACAAATCAGGGCTTCTTAACCTTGAGTGTGAGTTTCAAGGACTCTATGAAACGAACACACAGACATTTTCTCGGTAAGAGTATCCATGTCATTCAAAAGAACCATTGTCGAAATAAATTACTGCTTACAAATATGATTGCAGTTTTTTACTGAGCTATCCAGTGCTTATCACAATGTATACTACAAATAAATGTTATGGAATTAAGAAATAAATTGAATAAATGATTGACTAACATCATTACTTGGCAATGAGGCTTTCCTTGACCATCGTATAAAAAATAAATCCTCAGGACCCCACCTTCCCTCACTCTCCTTATTTTTGTCCACTGCATTCATAGCCATGTTATATCACACACATTTTTGTTTATGGTGTTTCTCTCTTTGCTAGAATGTAAGCTCCATGAGAGAAAGGACATTGCCAATGTTTCGCTTTTTACTAGTTTTTCACTGCTGAATCCCCAGTGTAGCAAACACTCAATAAATATTTACTGTATGACTATATAAGCAAATCATTCACTCGCCCCCCTAATTTCTCATCCAAATTACCCATTCACTTTGAAGTTCAAATCTCTCTTTTACACATCACTTGCCCTTCAATCTTCACTTTCAATATCTCTCCCCTGCAAAGTTAATGAACGTTCTCCCTGTCCAGGTCAATAATGAAAATCTTTAAGCAGAACTGTTTAAACACATGTGATTCGGGTTTTTGCTAATTTCCTTTGTAATCCAGATTCTGGACACGAGCTTAAAAATAGGGGCACAGTGGAGGGCGGGAGACCTGTGGGGATGAAGGACAGGTAGGAGGGATGCTTCATCTCACTACTTGATAGGTGGTAGGCGCTCTGCTCGGCGGGCGCTTCCTCAAGTCTGTAGGCTTATTCTTCCTTACTTCAGGGCTAGCAGTCCCGCAAATGTTTCATCCTTATTTTGCAGACAGTCAGAAGTCTTGGGCTTGAATTCTTGCTTTGCCAGTAACCCCACAGTCACACTCCAAGGTTCCTCTCGTGTTGCACCAGGGCTGGTCTGTGTGGCCAACAGCATGTGGCACACTGACGATATGCCACGTCTGAGCTGAGGTCATAAAAGACCACGGCTTCCATGCTTTCATCTTGAGCATTCTCTCTCTCTCTCTCCCCCTTTACCTACTTTTCTTCCTCTCTCCTCTCTCTATTACCAACTCTCATGGAAGTCAGCTGCCATATACGTCTAACGAGGTTATTCAGGCAGCCTGTGTGTTCCGGGCCCATGTGGCAAGCAACAGAGGCCTGCAGCAAACAGCCAGTGAGAACTTGAGAACTGCCAGCGAGCCTGAGCCTGAGAGTGAGCTCAGAAGCAGATTCTCTAGCTCCGGTCGAGCCTTGAAGTGACACCAGGCCCAGCTGACAGCGTGCTGCAACTTCATGAGAGATCCAGAACCAGCACCACTCCGCCAAGCTGCTCCCAGATTCCCAACTCTCAGAAACTGAGATGATAAACGATTGTGGTCCTAAGTTGCTACACTGTATGGTAATCTGTTATGCCAAAATAGACAACCGATATAACCACAAACTCTCCAATTCTTAAAATAGCAGTTTATGTCACACTTACAAGAGGTCCGAAACAAGCGTTCGTAATGGGCAGGCAGCGCCCTCCTCCAAGTGCTGATTTGGTACCGAGGCAAATTCCACACTGTGGCTCTGCCATCCTTGCATGGCTTCCCGGCTATTGTTCCCATTTGTGCAGAGCAAACAGAAAGCGGGAGACACACACACAGGATTGCAAACGGGAAATTTTTAATGGGCCAGACCTGGAAGTGTTACATATCACTGTTTTTGAATTCCATTAGCTAGAAGGGAGTCATAAAGACTCGCCTAACAGAAGGGAAGCTGAGAAATGTGGTCTATCTGTGTGCGCAGCAGGAAGAAATCATGGATTTGGTTATCAACTAGAGGTCTCTTCCAAAACTGTGGCTGTAATATTGGTCTCCCTTTTGAACTCCGGATCTGAATATCCAATTGCCTGCCTGGGACATCTTCACTTCGCTTAGAGCATGATTTCCCAACCTTGACATTACTGACATTTGGGACCAAGTAATTCTTTGTTGAGAGGCTGTCGTGCACGTTATAAAATTTTAGCAGCTTTTCTGGTCTCTACTCACCAGATGACACTAGCAATCAGCCCCCCAGTTGTGAAAACAAGAAATGTCTTCAGACGTTGACATACCCTGGAGGTAAAAATCAGTTATTTGATGTTTCAGAATCATTAGAAGCTCATCCTATTCAACAGTACACTCATCATCTATTATAATAAATTCACTTCTCTTCCTGATATCCTTAATCCAGGAAATACCAGAAAATTAACCTGATGTTTCAACACCAAACTATTATTTTTGATTCTTCTGTCTCCCTCAACCCAGCTTAAGGACAATCATGAAATTCTGACAATCCTATTTCCTTAAAATGTCTCAAATTATTTTTTATTTTCTTTATTGCCAATGCCAACATATGCATTCTTACTTAAAGGCCTTTGGACTAGTTTGCAGCCTTTATTTTCCTCTTCCTCTACCCCTAATAATCAAATGATCAGAGACAGCTTCTTTAAAATGGAAATCTGGAGTGGCTTTACAATTAATGGCCTGAAACTCCAGCAATTATAATTTTATTTTGTCCCTAAACTCCCACTAAAAACCAACAAAATAGAGGAAAAAAATAATATTTAGTGATGCAATAAATTAAATAAAATTACAAATCGCAACTTTGAAGAATAAATACCAAAGATAGTAAAGTCTGTAAAATCAAAACTTACATGTTCAGTTTATGTAGACAAAGTTTTCAGAAGAAAGATTTTTTTTCAAAAGTGGGTTATCAGGTTAGGAAGTTATCAAGTAAGGCACTGGCCAAATTGTTTTACTTGGAATTTGGAATTAATGACATAAGGGGAGCAGGCTAATGATACCATTCAATTTTTAAAAAGAAACCTAAATAAAATATTAGATGTAGAAACTACACCTCTTTACAGGGGGGCCACAGAAAAGCTGGAGACATCTCTAGAATTACCTAGTGCCATACCACACAGAATGTCCCAGGTATGCTGTCATTATCTCACCAAGTGGACAGTCATTATTGTCTCCCTTCCTACTAGGTTACATAAGGGACCACATGAATGAAGAGCACAGCTGTCTCTAAAGAGCCTCCCTGAACCTAGTTCAACACCATGGCATGGCAGAAAGGCGACACCGAATTTGGAAATTGGCAGATATGCCCACCTTTGCCAACAGGTTACTTTTGCGTCAGGAAAAAGGAAAACTTCTAAGCCACAAGGAACTCTGCATCTGCCAATTTTTTAGTCATCTGAAGAGATGAATGTATCCAGAGAGAGACAGGGGGAAAAAAGGCTGGCAGGTTCATTCTGAGTCACTGGGACTTGCAACTTACAGGAAGACAAATCGAGTCAAAAGGGCAGAGAAGTGTTGATGAGAAGTTTCCACAGACTGGAGCAGAAAACTCAAGATGACTGTCATAACTGTTCACTGCATTCCCTACATTATTTATAGAAGAATAAATTACCTGATCCCAGAAGAACCACCTCGATTCAAACAGGAGTAAGAAATTTCCATGTAAAATTACCATATTAAAAAGAAGAGAAAATCAAAAATCAAATGCTGATGAGGAGCAGATGAGGAAAAACTTATATGTACTTAGTGAAAATTGTGACTAATATTTCTTGAACTGAAATATGACATGAAAGAAAACTTACCTGACAACAAACAGAAATCTTCAAGTTTCTATTCTAGAGAAACTAGAAATCTGAAAATTGAGAATGATATACTCGCCCCTTAATCAACCTCCAGGCTCTGACAGTTAGGCATATAAACTTCAAAGGAAAAGGAAACGTCCGATCTCTCTTTTTCCAGATGATAAAAAGTGGGTATGTCTACTAATTGAGTATGAGGACAGTGATATACTGACCCCGGGCTGGCAAGGTTACACATTAAAAAATAAATAAAACTAATCAATTGAACACAATTCAAATGAATTAAATAAGCAAGCAAATAAGTTTAAAAGCATAAAAAAATTCTGTAATAACTATGAGCAAATCGAAATGGGGAGAAAATAGTCCAATATTAGGGATACATTATAAAATCTGCAATGTTAGAAAGTGGAAAATGAACTAGTGTGGAAGCCTTTGTGATTGCTTTAAGACTGGGTTCATCATTTCTTGCTGTTCATTGTTCCTGCCTCTCTCAGTCCTATTAGGCACTCATCTCTTTGCATCACATTTATCTTCACTTCTAAATAATTGCATACCCAGGGAACTTTTACAGTGTCTGGCAAAAATTAAATGCTTAACAAACTCCTGTTGGATAAATACCGAATAAGAATAAAGTAGGTAAGAAACAGTATGCCGCTAAGTCACTGGTTAGGAAATGTTATATGAATCACATTTAGTGTAAAATAGAAAAATCTCATATTCCCACTTGTAGGCTCTCTTTTGGAGGAAATAATGCAGAGATGTTGCAATTTGGCTTCTGCATTTCTTCATGTTTTCCCCTTCCTTCTTTTCACATCACAAGTGAGAAAACAGCTCTCAGATGCTAGAAAGTATTGTGTTTGCCACTCACAGAAATAATAACATGGGAACAACATCCTCCTTGCTTCTTACTCCTAGTTGTTTTGTTGTGTTCTGCTGTTCTGTTTTTAAGAGATACTTTTCTCAAGGTTTACCTATTTCTTTCCTTTACACTGTGTAAGATTACTTTCTATTTGCTAAAAAACAAGGAAGAGGCCAGTGAAGTGAGAAACTAAGATATACATTGCAGAGGTCAGCCCTCCTCTGAGGAAGGGTTAGGGAGATGAGCAGAGAGTGATCGTCGAGGGTCGTAGGAAGAAGACAGCAGGCATCAGCCACAGGAAGGTGATAGAATGAGGCATTTAGGTGCACTCAATAATGGTAGTGAGCAATAGGAATTTGTGGAATAGACATAAATACGTAAATTTGGATATTGACATTGATTGTAGAAAGTCAACGGGAAAGTCGAAATGTGTGAATTCATGTTAATGATAATTACTAGGATGGAAAATCAGGGAGACCTAATATTGATGATTGGTATTAATAATCATACTTATCTGATTTATAAAAACAGTTATTTCTCTAGAAAGAAAACACACCCTCTCCCATTGTCAGCTAAAAAGCGTTAAGGCTAACTCATTTCGAAAGAGTCAAACTTTGCATAATTCCTTTGTTTGCCTTATCCTCATAGTAGTCTCAGCCAACTGCCTGAGCATTCCGCTGATTTTCTCTGAATCTCTGTGAGAAACCAGCATTTTTGGCTATAAAATTTAGATTATTTGTTTTTTTTTTTTTTTGTCAATGTTCAATGCAAAATGAATAAGTGGTTGTATGCAGCATATTTTGAAATATCAAAATATAAGGCAAGACACATAAACAAGACAACATCTAAAATCTCTCTGTTTTGTTATTGTTGTTATATACACTGCCATAGCTTTGGGATGAAAAAACTTAGAAAGTTATTAAAATATTTCAGCTTTATAACCTTCATGAATGTGGGTCTCTCTGAATAAGGTTTACTACTGGAACGAAGTCTGGCTATCTTAGGCTGATAGTATCTTGTGCCAATAAAACCTGCTGAAAAATTGTTGCCCAAATTTTCTCAGTCTTCTGCTAAATTTTCCAGGGCTCAAAAGGTCCTGGTTACAATAAAAAGGGTAGTGGGTGTGGATGGAAAAATCCAAACTCTGAAATATTTGGAAGAAGTTTATTCTGAACCAAATTTGAGGACCATGACCTGGAGCCGCTCCCAAGAAGCTTTGAGCAAGTGAACTCGCTGTGGCTGGGTCACAGTTTCGTTTTACACATTTCAAGGAGACAGGGGTTACAGGTAAAGTCATCAATCAATACGTGGGAGGCATACATTGGTTTGGCCCAAAAAGGTGGGACATCTCGAAGCAGAGGGGTTTACAGGTTATAGGTGGGTTTATAGATTATTTGGCTCGTAATTGGTTAAAGACATGAAGCTTTGTCTAAAGGCTTGGAATGTTTCAACATAAGGAGCTGTTTACCAGAGACAAGCTAAGGGACATAGATTTGTGTAAATTGAGGACCTGCAGGTGTGTCTTGCATACCCTTAGACCTGTTAACGGGTTACAAAGGATGTCCCCAAGAAGGGAGGGGGGCATGATGAGGCCTGTCTGACCTCCCTCCTCCTGGCAGGCAATTTAGTTTTAGGATATTCCTTTGGCCACAAGGGGGTCCATTTAGTCAGCGGTAGTGGTGGTGGTGGGGGGTGAGCCTTAAAATTTTATTTTAGTTCACATGGGTCTCAGCATCCCTAACAAACGCATATACACAACTACATTTAAGTAAATGTTGGGTCTGACTCTAGGGCCTGGACAGCCCTTTGCTTACAGCATTTACGTTAGAAAACTTGCAACTGCGAATTATTCCTCTGCCCTTAGAAATGTGTGTACATCTTCTCCCAGCCTCCTGCCAGCACTGCGACCCAGCACTGTCTGTCTCAGTGATCGGAGATCATCTCTAAACATTGTAGGAAATGGCACCCCATCTCCCAGTCTGTGGGAGAGTAGGAAACTCACTTACTGGGTGCCAATTAGCAAACACAGATAGCCTAATCACAGAAAATAAAACAAAAAAATGCAAACTCAAATGCAAACTCCTTGTGCTGGACACAACCCATTGATCAATCTCCCGAAAGTCAGCTGGTACTTTTCCCCTAGCTTACCTCAGTGCTTAAAAACCTGCCCACCTTTTCTTCCAGTGGAGTTAATCTCAATCTTCTCTCTCCTTTCACAATAGTCTTGAATAAAGTTTCCTCACCTGTTGAATTTGTCCAGTGCGATTTTATTTTACAAGCCCAAGGTGAACGCAGTCTGGGCTGGGGAACACATGTACACATTTGAATATGGCTTTGCAATGGATGTAGTTTTTGCTTAATGTGGATTATACATCAGGCTGTTTTTCACCTTCCAAAATGATGAAGTTTCTAAGCCATTCATTCATACAAAGTCTGTGGTAATTAGAACTAGTGGCACGGCTCTGTAGATAAGATGCTATATGAAAGACATGTAGCAAGATCCTATGAAAACATGGACAATGAAGATTCTGCATGAGCAATGGATTTCTGAAAATTCAGAGTAAAATTATCAGTGAATATCAGAAAATAGGTTTAGTTTTTGACTTGTAAAAAGTAACATGATACTTAAAATCAGAATTTTGGCAGGTTGGCACAAATTATAAACTAATAAACTGCATCTTACAGGAGTAGAAATGTTCTTAGCTATGGAAGGATAGAAGATTAGTCAAATAAAAAGTGTTTGAACTATAATCTTATCACCATTACTTTAAAAAGTAACATACAGAAGCCTTGACATTTAGAAGGGGATCTCTTTACCTATCTCTTTTGCTTTATTTGAAACTGTTCGATGTAAGATTTAATATATTGTTTATTACTCTTTGTTTTAAGAATATAAATGAATATGACATTCTTAAATTTCTTAGGATTTTGATGGCATCAACGAATAAATAAAAGTATGGAACAATCTTACTTATTTAGTATGTATTCTATATTTTAGCCACATTTATGGAAATGAAAACATGGCTATGGTTAAAGTAAACCATTTTTCATGTGCTGAAATGTTTATAGTATGTTTTATAAATTTAAAATAGCAAAAAATATTTTTTTTCCACAAAATAGAAGAACAAAAACACCTGACATGTAAAGGCTACAGAAAACGTGTTATGTGCAGGAACAAAAAGATAAATTAATCAGTGACTTTTTAAAGTATTTCTCTTTTCAAAAACTATATTGTTTTATTTTATGTCGTATCCTTTCTTCATTAAAGACTTTAACACCTGTCATTAAGTGAAACTATGTTTGGATTCCATAACGAGATAGTTGATGGAAATTTCAAAATCAAAAGAACTTTTTGGATCACAGACTTCTTTGTTTGTTCTGCTAGGTTCACATTAACATCAGCACTAGCAAGGGCATAGCAGAACCTATTATGAATTTGGATGTGTCTCTTAAAAAGGATATTCGCCACATTCCAGTAGGGTCAGTGTGGCCATTTGAAGGTAAATATATGCATAGGTGAGTGGGTACACCTCTCGAAAAAGCTGCAACATCTGTTCCAATAACACATTTTCCATTTTCATACTCAAGTCACACCCTCTAATAGTGTGTCACAGATGATGCAGGTTTTTTAGTAACACTATTCTGCTAACTTCTTTGAAATATCACTGTATAATGCATTGCTACTCTGAATTCTTAAGGGTTTGCTTTGCTTTAAAAGGCATAGTTGCAGTTATGTCTCCTGCTTACTATCTTACTTTGCTAAAGAAAAGTTTTAATATCAACTGGGCAAGGCAAATATAATACATGATTTTCTAAAAGCTGATTAAATCTGTGGTGCTCAAAGGGTGGTGGTGTTCACCAGGGATTTGGGGGTTGAGGGGGTGGACCCACATCTGAGGGACGTGGTGAGCATCGTGGAGGGGAAGGGCATACCTCTAACCCTTGCTAGGGAGAGGCAAAGATATACAATGTAACCAAAATGTCAAGAAAAAAAAAAGAAACATTTATCGGGTGTTGGGTGGGTGGGAGGAGGGAGGAGGGGATGGGTGTATACTTACATAATGAGTGTGATGTGCACCACCTGGAGGATGGACACGCTTAAAGCTCTGAGTCTGTGGGGGCGGGGGAGGGGTGGCAGGGTCAATATATGTAACCTTAACAATATTTGTACCCCCATAATATGATGAAATATAAAAGAAAACCTCCCCATATTGTTTTACCTGAGTGAAGTAATTTTATCAAGTTTAACTATACCTATGTAGGTAGACCTATGTTATGTAGACCATTGTTCCTTTCCACATGATTTACCAAATGAAGAATGTATCCAAAACACCTTCAAACCTATGTAGTTTTATATTATAATAATACTATATCTCAGAAATACAACTACATAAAACATTGTAGAAATGTTTTAGAAATTGTATTGTAGAAATACAACTACATAATAAAAACATGACAAATACGAAAATTTAATTGCCTTGGGTCTTTTGACTATATTAATCAAAAAAAAAATTCATCAAACTGTCTACAGCATCTGTGTCACGTTTACTCACAACAATTGTTGTTACAACCCAGGGGCGTAGAGTTAGGCAGGCTCTAATCTCAGTCACTGCAGATCGTGTAAGTCAAAGTGTCATTACGATAGGACAACTGCGTGAGTTGATGAAATATCCAAATGGACAAACGCAAGATGATTTGGACAGATATCCATGACTGAAAAAGGAAATTCAGGTCGGACAGAAAGAGAGTGAGAGAGAGGCACGATGGAATAAGGATTGGTGAAAATCAATTCTTGAAGACAGGGCGAGGGGAAGAATGAACGCTCTGGGAAGCTGCTCTGTTTACAGGAAGACAGAAGAGTAATTGAAGGTGGAAGGCGTAGAATCCAGCTCCAAAGGGGAAAGGGCAATCAAGAGCAAGTTTCAGGTTTCTAGAAAACTAGGCCGTAATGCACTATAGGATTCTGTCTGCCAGTCAACCCTGAATAAGAAAGGAGAAGCCAGACAGTAGCCTTCTCGTTTTGATTTGGCAAAAGTGGCATACAATAGGAAGAGATATTGTAACATCTAATACACAAGGATGGCCAGGGTTTACCCTCATCCTATCAGCTCAATAAGAGCACGGTGAAATCCAGACCTCAGTTAAGAGGCCAAGGGTACTGATCAGGATATAAGAAAGCCAGCGTGAATAGTCAGGAGAGACGGTAATTGTGCACGTCTCTTACCAAGTCCATATTCAGTCACTTTAGGACAGTAGCTTGAAACCGTTCATCGTGCAAGTATTATGTCATGGAAAATGCTAAATGTTAATGCTAAAAGTCAGGGCATTTGTTTTCCCCCCTTTTTCCAAAGAGCCTGATGTCAAACACTTCTTAGTACTATCCTGTTATTCATGCAGTTGAACCTTGGACAAGGAAGGGGTTAGAGGTGCCCACCCCTCACTGAGCTTACAACCTGGGTATAACTTTTGACTCCCCTGAACGTAACTATTAATAGCCTACTCTTAATAATTGCCTTACCGATGGCGTGACAGTTGATGAACACATATGTGATATGTTTTATGTTTTGTACACTATCCTCTTGCAATAAGAGAAGGTTATTAAGAAAACCATAAGGAAGGTGAAGTACATGTACAGTACTGGACTGCATTTACTGATACCGTGATACCACTGGGTGAAGTGTATGATGTCTGTTTACGAGACGAGTCCTCTGTCTGAAACATGGGCAACGGCAGCCACAGACATCGCTCTGCTGTACGTATCGAGGCGTTCAACTTTTTTGTAATGTCGTGATTTTTTTCCCTGCTTCCCGGGAGCACTTCCAGCATCACCCGTGCCCCTTCCCGTAGGACCCAGGGTGTTGTTCCAGGTTTGCAGTGCTGCACTAAACACAATGGAAAGAGATCTGTGAGAGACCCTTTTTACTGCCGTGTACAATCTACTGGGGACGGACTGCTCATGCAGAGATGGCGGGGGTCACGCAGCGTTTTAAGCAAGTACTCAAAACACTCGGGCTCACCACAACAGCAACAAAAGGTGTCTGTGAAATAATCACAGCAGTAAAGAATACACTACAGTGAATTTTATGCAGTTATGATTTAATACTGTATCTTTCTTTATATTTGTTTTTACATTTCTCTCTACCATGGAAGGTACCATATGTAGTCTGCAAGTGTGTGCATAAGTTTTGATAAATTTTAACTCTTTATAATAGATTTTGTGCATATTTTATGGCAGTAAATGATAAAATAGATTAATATGCAGTATACATATATTTTATTCATTCATCATATACCTAACTTTTTTTTTTTTTTAATTTCTGGGCTCCACGGTTTATCTGTGAGTTTTTTCATATTTTCACAAATTTCCACAACAAATTCTAATATTTTTTTTCCAAAAATCCACATATGAGTGGACCCACACAATTAGAACCTGTGTTGTTCAAGGGTCAACGGTACATATTTACCTCCCCCAGTCAGAGGTAGCACAAGCTACCTGAGCCCGCCAATGAAAATCTTCATCCAGGATTCAAGTTGAGAAGGGCTAGAATGAGAAACGTGATTTTCTGTTTTCACTAACTACTGTTTTATCACACCAAAGTCAACATGGAAAGCCACATGTGGAACAAAAGCCAAGGCAAAGTTACAAAAGAATCATAAAAAATATATATTAAAAGCTGCATACATTATTACCTAGTAACAATAGCATGTATATTGTTAAGCTACTAAAGAGTTTGTTTAGACATGTGATCAAAATAATTACATTTATCGTATCTCAAAGATCAACTATCAGTGACCAAATTCTTTGTTGCCTAAAAGTATTTAAGAGAACACAGAATTATTAGCTTTAAGCCAGTACTTCTTCATGTCTTCAATAAAAGTTGTCCCACTAGATTCTCTGAGATTAAAAAAAAAAATATATTTGGGAAAAATAGAATGCATATGATTTGACTAAGTATTGGCATAGTTACAAAAACCCCCAAAATCTCAGTCATTAAAAAAAAAAAAGGTGAATATTCTTACGATTATGCTGCAGCTCTCTTCCATGTCTTCTTCATTCAGGGACTCGGGATTAGGGAGGAGTCCCCATGTGGGACTTGCCCAGTCAGTGGCAGAATTAAAAGAGGGACAGTGGAAACCCATGATTCGTCTTAAACTTTTGCTCAGAAATACCACATATCCACTTGAATTTTTTGGCCAATATCAAGTTAATGGAGTAGGAATCAATCTTAATTCTCTTAAAGGACTCATAAATAATTGGAAAAATAATGTATTCAAATTCATGCACCACACAATATCCTCCTGTTTGATATTCATGTGCTTTGTTAAGTGCTTTGAAGAATTATGGAATAAAAAGAGAAAGGCCTCTGAAATCAACCTCCATTTCCATTCGAGGTATATTGCCATTTATCAGAGGCTGCTACTGTTTCTAAACACATAATTAAGGTCCTAGAAAGTCACTATTTCACTGTCTACATGCCAGGTTAGAATTCTCATAGATACATAAACAATTCATACTGCCCATTTCTTCTAGAAGAACTGAAGTTTTCCTTCCATTGGGGGGGGGGAAGAAAAGAAAAAGGAGAGCCTTTTTCTTTTTTAAGGAAAGTTGAAGAAAGCTAAGTTCTACCAGGCTTACCTGTGATATTTAATCAACACCCCAAGTATGATTCCCTCTGGTCTTTTTCTGGTCCTGTAGAAGTTTCAGACGCACCCTGCTCTGTGATTCTTTGGCTCCGATGCAGCTTCTCACTGTTCTCTCTTTTAAAACTTTTCCTCGGACCATTTTAGTCCTAGTCCCACAATAACAAATAAATCCGTATCTCTGACCTATTGAATGATGTCCTCTCTACCTCCTTGCCTTAACTCATCTTACTTGAAGTTACTTCTGACTGATAGCGTCTGTTCACACCCAGCACTATTCCACCTGCTGAGCGGCCCACTTCCATATGCCATAGGGGATATAAATTGGGAAAATTGTCCCCCAAGCCAGCAGAGTCCTGGTTGAGAGTCCAACGCGAGGCGTATCCGGTGGCATCGGTGCGCACCTCTGTTAATCTCCTGCTTCAGGTCTGCAGACAGGTAAGATGACTGAGAGAGCTTTCCCCCATTTTTTTTTCTGTAGTGGTTTTCTGAGTGAACAAAGCAGCTGCTCTATTTTTTCGTAAGTCTCCAAATCTCTCCATTATCCCTTCACGGAAATATCTAGAGAGGGTCCCATTATCACAACAGATTCCTGACAGAACAAATACTACTTCCAAAACCCAATTAAGTGTTTTTTGTTTTTTTGTTTTTTTTTTTTTTTTTTCTCGTTCCAGAATATTCTACTTTCCTGGGAGACCAGAAACAGGGGAAGTTCAAGATAATCACCTATTTCCCGGTGCTGACTTTGGACCACCGCTGCCTCATTCCACCATTCCTCCTGTATCAGAGTAGCCACTATCACTCCAATTTATGTGTCAGACACCTTGGCTCCTCCTGGCTGACTGTCTTCTTTTCTACCTCAACATTTATCACCATCCCTAATAAAGTTAGTGACCAAGGGACAACGTTCTCTGACTTTTGAAATTTTCGTGTTCTGGTCTTATTCTATTTGGTATGGCGAAATTCCAGTTATTCCACCTGGAGTTTGGTGTGACCCAATAACTCTCCTGCTTCTGAATGTGAAATCAAAACATGTCACTCTGATCAAAACACCCTATCCTTCTGGATTATGCTTCTAGCTTATTTTCATCAACATATAGCTCTAAATCATTCGAAGAATTCATTGTTTCTAGTACTTTTTCCAAGTGATGAACCGTAGCAATGAAAAATTACAATCTTACAGACTGATACTACCAAAATATCATACTCTTTAACGTTAATACAGAACAGCACTTTTTCTCCTATTCTAACCAGCATTCTTCCATCTCCTTCTCTCTCCTGTTTTTATTTACTGATGATCAGTAGCTAAGGAAAAGCCTTTGATACAGTCCCCAAAACTGACATCTACCAAGCTCTGGCCTCGGAATTCCGTAGCTCCCAGACTCTGCATCACATCCAGGTACACTCTGAGAAGTGCTTGCATTTTAACTACACAAAAATATGATGCCTCCCAAGTCCATATTTTAATTCCAAATGTATCTTCTGAATGTTTCAGCCAGTTTCTGCAGAAAAGCATCTAAGAGGTTGTCTGAAATAATATCTTTCAGAACTAATTTCCTTTTCTACAAAGTGAGAGTGATGTTAGAGTGCCTCTAAGGCCTTACATACCTAGCCTCCCATGGGCTTATTTTAATCAATATTACTTGCTGTGTGCCAATATTATGATTGTGGCAACAAATATTTTATAGTAACCACATTAAATTAGTGGTAATGCTTTATTGTACATTCAACAATAACAAAGAAAGCAGAAAAAAAGTAAATCAATGAAATATGCTTCTTATATAAAAGAAAACACTTATTCTGCTATTCACTAGACTCAAGGAGTATAGTTTCTCTTATTGCATGAATTTTCAACTAACAGGAAACACATGAGTAATCCTTCTACCAGGTATCTTCTCTGAAGACCTACCATCTGCTCAGATTTATTCTGCATAAAATCACAAGGTATCTCCTCCTGGCCCACGGGCTTCTCTTTTCTGTATTGCTGTGGACATAAAGCACCCTCAGCTGTGCCACTTATTTGTGATATACCTCTTGTAATAATCTACTGCTATACTCTTTTACAAATTTCAGCAAAGTGTAAGTCCTCAACTATTCCATTCTACGCTATTCTAATTTATATTCTAAAGATTTTTTTTTTATCAGTTTCTTCTTAGGCTACCAAACTTTTTAACTTTGATTGTCGTTCATTTCATGCCATTCTTGTAGCATTTGTGACAGCTCAAAGCAAGTGCTACCTTATGGTCTTCAATGAGTACGAGAACCACACCTGATAAATGTAAATATGACAAGATAGGAATCGCCTGCTGAGAAAAGAACAGGACTGGAAAAGACGTCTTCACTAAGACCTTTAGGGTGGTTCCCAATCAAGAGTGGTATTAAATCTCCCATTCTATCCCACTGCCCACATAGGGGACATTTGAAAAGGTGTAGATCCATATTTAGTTGCTACCATGGCTGGGGTAGGTACTAATAGTTACCACTGGCATTAATGGAGAACAGGAATGCTAAGCCTCCTAAGATGCTAAATACAGTCCTGCAGAATTAAGAACTATTCTGCCCAAAATGTCAATGTGAAGGATGAAGCCGTCTATTTCCCAGTAGTGGCTGAAGCAGTTAGGAAATTTAAACAGATGAATAATGGGGAAATTGAAATATCGTTACTAATTCTCTGTGACTAGATCTTTCTAGTATGATTTTTATCATTTCTGTGAAATGTGGTGAATTTTCCAACATCGATTTTTTTAGGTCCATATTCAAACATTTCCATAAAACTCACTGGATATCATTCTAAGCATTCTTCCAATAAGGAAAAAATAACTACTGATATTTTGTGATTCCCAGGGTTTTACATCATTATTGCAAATAATTTATATTCGACTATGAAATCCATATACAGTCTGCCCACAATAATGTCTCAGTGATGCTATCAATAGTAGTCAATAAACCCAAACTTTAAATGCTGACAGATCAGTGGTTTTAATACAGTTTTTCATTTTTTAAAGGGAGCCAGGATACTTGTGGATAATAAAGGTGCCAAAAATAAGACATCCTATCTGACCAAATGGATGCACATGTCAATGAGTGTTTGAACCTAGAACAGATGCCTAGAGACTGCAGTAATGACAAAACAGCCAGTTTCTATGACAACCATGTCAATGATCTGTGCAGAAAGGTTCACGTTTCGAAGATAATGTTAATTCTGCTTAGGACAAGTGCCTCAAATGATATTAACCATATTTTGGTCTCTCTTCAGCTAATGGCTTTGCGGCTTGCGTTAATCATAGGTCTGTCAGTAAACATAATTACTTTGCATTAAGACCATAACTTAATTAGAATTTGAGAAGAATTAAAATGCAACAATAGGCTCACAAACCTGTGATTGAGGTCTCCCAAATGGGGGCACTGGATCCAACCCTGGAGGTGTGTCTAGAGAGAGAGCTAACGTAACCCTCAGGGTCTTGTCTCTGAACCCTGGCTAGCCAAGGGAGCGTCAATCAAGAAGGCTCTTCACATTGTTCCCCAGGATATATGTTATTAATATTGATAACATGATAGCTTTCTTAGCAGTTAAGGCTGGAATTTGCATTTAATTAAAAGTATAAATCTACATGAGGTTGCTCTCTATTCGGTTTGGGAGCAGACCCTGCTACAAGTGGGAAAGGGAACAGACTTGAGTATCACTCTTTCAGTCTGGTGTTTGGCATGTTTTCCCTCCGTAACATTGTAGGAAGGGAGCACTGGGACAGGAGGAGAAATCAGCCACCGAGCTCTGCTAATGCACAGACCACTCTAATACACTCCAGTCACCCTGATTATTTCTTCATTGTGCAGTTGGACTCCACAGTTCAGAATAAACAGATGTGGTTTGACTTGGTTTATGACCAGCCTAAAATTAGTTCTTTCGGCAATTTGTAAAAATGAAGATGTCAAGTTTTTCTAAGCCCTTGTGTGTCTTTTTACAGTGTTAAACTTGTGATTTGTTGAGCTCCTTCCCGGAGGGGGAAAGAAAAACAAGTTAAAGGACTATAATTTACAGCCAGCCAGCTCTGTGTATTTACCCATGCCTATAGTGAGTGACTATATATTGATTGGCGACGTGCTGTTAATATTTGCATAGCACTATGCCTGGAATGTTGTAGCAAACAATAAGGTACTTGTCCTCATGGAACTTACAGAATGGAAAGAAAGAATTATTCAAGACTCTTCACTTCTGCAACAATAACAACCCTATAGAAATAAAAACACAAGTCATTTTATCTTTCTCAATGATACTGTCAGAACTAATACGAAAAACACCTACAAAACTCTCCAAGAGGCAAGTATACAGGATGTAGAACCTATGATAGTGTGTGGGCGAAAGCACAAGTATGAATAAAGAAGCCAGAATATTTGAATTTGAAAGAATCTCAGTGGTCAGGGTCAGAAAGCCCACATGGGTGCTTTACGGGTAAACCCAGGACTGCTACTCAGACCAGAGCACCTTCCTGGTGCTTTTTCTGCCTTGTCTCAGGCACTAAAAGCATAATGTGTTCCTTCATCATGACATTGGCATCACTCTTTAGAACGGGGGCATTTTTCTTTAGCTTTCCTTTTTTCTATTCCTCTACAGAGGGTCATACTTGCTTCCAAGAGTTTTATTGCTGTTATTAATAGTTGCAATGAAATAAGAATAGTTGCAAAGAAAATAATAAACATCAAGAAAGTCACAAAGCCTAATAAATGTTACTAACCTTTTACAGAAATGATCCCAAGTGGACTGCCTCTGATTCCCTTGCAGTGATGGTGACAGGAAACCTCCTTCGATGTTTATGCTCTACTTTTTCTTCTTGGATTAGTAGGAGGAGGTGTTGCCTGCTCCCTCTCCACAATCCCAGTGTTTCTGACCTTGTCCTGCATTTAACACAAAAACTGTAAATGTAATCAAAAGAAACTTTGATACCCCCCCTCATTGCCTCAGTTGGTCAATTTTTCCCATGTTATATGACTTAGATAACCACATAGATTAGTTTTCATAACTTTAGGTAAAATTCAAACAATTTCAACGTGGTACAATATAGAGGTTGCCTAGGGGAAACACCATCATTGTTACTGCTAGACAATATCAATGTTCCATAATGCTTTGCATGTTTATTGATTGACCAGCTATCAAGTGGCCAGGAAATTTATTTCTTTATTATCAGAAAAGGATTTTGAGGATTAGTGAGACTTGGACATCTAGGAGACCTGGAAAATCTAAAAGTGGAAGAAAAAAAAAAAAAACAACACAAAAATGTGGGGTTGCATCCAGCTATAGATAGAAGATCATTCAGTTAGTCAGGCAGAGTCAATTATTTAGAGGCTAAAACCACAGAAAACAAGCAGGCAGTATTATAGGCTAGCTTCAGTAAAATGCTAAAGGCCTGATCCAGCACATGGGTGTGATATACTGACAAGGAACTTAAGATTATGCCAGGCAAAGAGCCAGTGCCAAGTTCTAATAACGCCTAGCAATAGTCAAAGAGCAGGCAATTAGAAAAAGGATGTTTGCTGTGTGTGCAGTGGGTGGAGGCAGGGGCTGAAAAGTGAGAGAAAATAGATGATCACTCACAGAGGACATTAGTGAGAGTGAAAAAGAACCACGATTTCAAAAGACTTGGGGATGCAAAAATAAGTGGGTGAAAGTATGAGGAGTCAAAAGATTTGAGTCAAAAGTACCTCCCCACAATATGCATACTAATTACAAAGAAAATATCGGCCAATCGTATTGTCCACATGAGCATCGTACAATATGATACACAACTGGACTGTATATTCTAAAATGCCAATGTTAGGAAGCAGAAGAAAGAACAAAGAACTGTTAACAGACTGAAGGAGACCGAAGAGATGATGTAACACAGGACTCAGGATTTTGTTTTGCTATATAAAGGCCATAACTGAGACAACTGGCAAAAATCTTAATAAGGACTGTAGACTAATGGTTTAGAGCTTATCCTAACAAAAATATTTTGGGCTGGAGAACACTATCATTGACATTATTTAGAATTGCTAATGCATTGTGATAATAAAAAGTAGACTGATTTTGGTTGCCTTTAGTATGTTTGTAAATATCCTACTTAATGGCTCACACTCTGGTTGGACCGGCTCTCGTCAGCATTGTTATACCCCTGCTAATGTAATTAAAAATATGTTAGCTCTTATAAAAAAAAAATTATAAGGACTGTAGGTTAGTTAGCATATTTGTCTGTGGTAATTTCTTGACATTTATTATTTACTTCATTATGTGAGATTATGCGGCTGTGTTTTAGAAAGAGCACACTGAGGACTTAGGGGTGAACGGCCATCACGTGTGCAAAATAGTCTCAACACATGCAGATAAGGGTATAGAAGGAGGACGGAAAGGGTGCAGGACACAGCAAAATGTGAACATTTGGGTGATATGGGCAAGAAGAAACCCTTTGTACTGTTATAGCAAATTTTTGTTTGTAAGTCTTAAAACACGACACAACGGAAATTTGAAAGTTCTAGCTACTAAGCAATTTTTCAAAATAGCTATCCAGGCATAAGGAAGCAGGACAAAAGCCCACTTACTAGAACCAGGAAGAAACTAATGTCTTAAGAACAAAAATGTTACCAATGATTCTTTTTTTAAATTTTTTATTATGATTGGTATGTATTAATAATAGGTGCATCTATTTATAGGGTACACATAATGTTTGAATACAGGCATATGTGTATAGTAATCAAATCAGGGTAACTGAGGTACATCTCAAGTATTTATCATTTCTTTGTGTTAGGAACATTATAATTTCACTCTTTTAGTTACATTTTGTTTGTGATGGGCACACAACTAAAATTAATTTAAACAAATAGCAACAACAAAAGTGTTTTGGAAGGATCCTGGTGTAAGCCTTGTGATCAATGGAAAGGCAACAGAAGCCAGGGAAACTTCAGTCATCTCGGTGCCTGAAACCTGCAGAATTCTGAATAAATACATTTTCCTCAAGCCCTCACCTTGGCTTATCTCTCAGTATCTGCCTCATAGAATATGACATAAAAGATGACTTTTTCCTTTTGTTATATGTATGGATCTCAGGGATGGACACCGATTTAATTGGCATTGGTCACTCATTGGACCGATCCCTTGGGATGGGAGGACACAGGGCTGTGACCGACCCTCTGTGCCAGGTATCAAACCCTGGGGCTGCAATGTTGGAGGTAATAGCACTGTGACTGGCTGCTTCACAATCAGTAGCTGCGTTGGGTAAAAGATCAATTCCCTAGTGGTAAGAGGCGAAGTCAATAGTATAGCGTTACAACCAGTGTTATGGTTTGAGTGGGGATTTAGACTTGTCAATGGAAAAGAATCCAAACTCTGTAAACTGATGTAAAGAGGTTTATTTGGAGCCAAAAATGTGCGACCATGGCTCAGAGAACCAACCGCACCCAAGAAGCCTTGAGCAAACCCCCTCGTGGTTGAGTTTTACACATTTTAGAGAGACAGAAATGACATGTAAAATCGTTAATCAGTACGTGGAAGGTGTACGTTAGGTTTGCCCTGAAAAGGCAGGACATCTCAAGGAAAGGGCTTACAGGTTATAGGTGGGTTTAAAGAGTCTTTGGTTTGTAATTGGTAAACGAAATGAAGCTTTGTCTAAAGTCTTGGAAGTTTGTCAATCAGAGACGAGCCACCTAACATGTACTGAGATTCAAGAGATTCTACTACGTAAATTGATGACCTGCAGATGTGGTTTAACCTTTGTCTTACATGGCTTTAGGCCTGTTAATGATTTTGTATCTTATTATTACAAAGAATAACTCTAAAAGGCACAGAGCATAAATAACTAGGCGTGTCTGGCCTCCCTTCTCCTCATGGTCTACAACTCAGCTTTAAGGTTTTTCTGGTGTCCCCATGGCCAAGAGGGGGTCCATTCACTTGACTTGGGGGCTTAAGATTTTATTTTATTAATAGTTCACATATTGGAACTACACACCAGCTTTTGAGGACTTCCAACCTGCAGGTAGCAGATCGTGGGACTTCTCAGCCTCCATAACTGCATGAGCCAATCCCTCATAATAAATCTCTTTATGTCTATATAGATACAGATACATCCTATAGGTTCCCTTTCCCCAGAGAACCCCGACTTAAACTTACAGTTATCAGATATGGGTTACTCATTGTTTTCAAGGCTTAATAATCAGATTGAGGGGCGACATTTTTAAAATAATAAATGACTGATTTACTACATCTGTCTGTGCTTGCTGGTTAATATCCTGTGTTTCCAGCTTCATCTATAAACGGTGTTAATTATACCCTCCTATCTCCCATAAGCACTATGATAATTACTGTTGGTGAAGCACTTAGGTTTCCATGGATAAGGGAGATGGTATAAGGGCAATGTACTATCATCATAATTATCATTGCCCTGGGCATCTGCTCATTAATGACTGCATTTGAGTAAAAACCCATGAAAGGTTTAATTGATATGAGACAGAAATTGGTCAACCTTAGTTATATTCACTGCCAAGATTAATTCCAAAGAGAACAACTTCTCTCTAAATAGGTCATCCCAAATGTCATCACAGAAATGAATATAATAGTTTTAAAGAGTTTTAACAATTCAGCATTCATTCATTTAACAAACAGTTACTGAATAGCCAGTATGCGCCAGGCACTGTTCTGGATTCTGACCATATAGTCATCAAGAAAAAAAAATTGCCCCTTTGTGGAGCTTCCATTCTAGGGTTTAAAATATGCACCTGGGCTATTGTTTTTTTTTTTTTCTTTTCTTTACCCAAATATTATTTTAAGTTCTTCATCAAGCACTCTATCCCTAATGTAACCTTTTGCAACACATCCCAATCCACTTGCATTTTTTTCTCTCTGTGGGAGAAATGGGCCCTAAATACTTATTTTTCTAAACAATGAATTACTGCCTATTATGGAAAACTGTTCATATTTGCATATCATTTTTTTCCTAAAAGCGTTAGATCTTTTCAATTGTCCATGGCATCTGGCACAGTACTGTACACATAGCATGCTCATAAATGAGCCTTTAATTAAATTAAATCTGTAATAGTTGTCATGCATATTAAAAAACAAAGTCGGTGTTTAGAAAATGATTTCCAGACACAGGCAACCCATTCGTCACTTGACCAAACAAGACCAGGGTGTGAAAAGGGACAAATTTAGGAAGATATATTTTATTCTCTGACTCCTTCTCCACTGCCAACCCCCTATTGTAGGACTTCCATTGTGTAGCCAGACATTTCCTGACAAAATCACCCCAGTCATCCTACTGTGTATTTTCTGGATAACTTGTGATCATGTCAATTAGCACCCACAAGACAGCCAAGAATTATTCCTTCTTTTCTACCTCTTCAGTGCTCTCAACTGCTGAGGCCCTAGTTGTCTCCAAAGCTGCGTGAAAGCACTTCATCTCCAAATTAGGCTGAGCCTTCTTCCAGGGACTACCAGTGCTACTTGTGCCGGGCAGTGCTGTGGTTGCCATATGCCAGAGTACTGGCAATAACAAACCAGCGTTCAACTTTATCCAATAGTAGGGCTCAAACTCAGCTTGTGTAGTTCAATAGAAACAGGGGGGAAAATGCACATTTCCTTTTTTTTTTTTTCTGTTGCCAATTGTCTTCAGAACACTGAGAAAATACTATTTTGAGTCCCTGAATCTTAAGGATTCTTTAGCCAAAATATCTCCATCAAGTTTCTACATCTCTGGGTTGAGTTCTCCCTTTTCTCTCTCACCTTGTCAACTCCTCTCTCTGGTTTCCAGATTATATGAATGAGACTCTAATAGCTGGACAAAGGAACAAATTCAGTAAATAAACATGTTCTGTGAATAGACTCAATTCTGACCTCCAAAAATGTGTTATAAGGCCAAGTTTATCTGATTCTT